AGGGAAAAAAAAACATAAAAAACACAAACACATAGAGGCTAAACAATATGTTACTAAAAAACCAAGAGATCACTGAAGAAATCAAAAAATACCTAGAGACAAAGGACAATGAAAACACGACAATCCAAAACCTATGGGATGCAACAAAAGGAGTTCTAAGAGGGAAGTTGATAGCAAAAAAACCCTACCTCAAGAAAGAAAAAAAAAATATCTCAAACAATCTAACCTTACACCTAAAGGAACTAGAGAAAGAAGAACAAACAAAACCCAATGTTTGTAGAAAGAAAGAAATCATAAAGATCACAGCAGAAACAAATGAAATAGAAACAAAGAAAACAATAGCAAAGACCAATAAAAATAAAAGCTGTTTTTTTCAGAAGGTAGACAAAACTGATAAACCTTTAGCCAGACTCATCAAGAAAAACAAGGAGAGGACTCAAATCAATAAAATTAGAAATGAATAAGTAGGAGTTACAACAGACACCACAGAAATACAAAGCATCATAAGAGACTACTACAAGCAAGTCTACTCCAATAAAATGGACAACCTGGAAGAAACAGAAAAATTCTTAGAAAGATATAACCTTCCAAGACTGAACCAGGAAGAAATAGAAAATATGAACAGACCAATCACAAGTAGTGAAACTGAAACTGTGATTAAAACTCTTCCAACAAACAAAAGTCCAGGACCAGATGGCTTCACAGGTGAATTATATCAAACATTTAGAGAAGAGCTAACACCCATCCTTCTCAAACTCTTCCAAAAAATTGCAGAGGAAGGAACACTCCCAAACTGATTCTACGAGGCCACCATCCCCCTAATACCAAAACCAGACAGAGATACAGCAAAAAAGAAAAAATTACAGACCAGTATCACTGATGAATATAGATGCAAAAATCCACAACAAAACACTAGCAAACAGAATCCAACAACACTTTAAAAGGGTCACACACCAATTTCAATTGGGATTTATCCCAGGGATGCAAGGATTCTTCAGTATATGCTAATCAATCAATGTGATACACCATAATAACAAATTGAAGTATAAAAAAACATATGATAATCTCGATATATGTAGAAAAAGCTCTTGAAAAAATTCAACACCCATTTATGATAAAAGCTCTCCATAAAGTGGGCATAAAGGAAACCTACCTCAACATAATAAAGGCCATATATGACAAACCCACAGCAAGTATCATTCTCAATGGTGAAAAACTGAAGGCATTTCCTCTAAGATCAGGAACAAGACAAGGATATCCACTCTTGTGACCATTATTCAACATAGTTTTGGAAGTCTTAGCCACAGCAGTCAGAGAAAAAAGATAAATAAAGGAATCCAAATTGGAAAAGAAGAAGTAAAACTGTCACTGCAGATGACATGACACTATACATACAGAATCCTAAAGATGCCACCAGAAAACTACTAGAGCTAATCAGTGCATTTGGTAAAGTTGCAGGATACAAAATTAATACACAGAAATCTCTTGCATTCCTATATACTAACAACAAAAGGTCAGAAAGAGACATTAAGGAAACAATCCCATTCACCATTGCAACAAAAAGAATAAAATACCTAGGAATAAACATATCTAAAGAGGTAAAAGACCTGCACTCAGAAAACTATACAATACTGATGAAAGAAATCAAAGATGACAAAAACAGATGGAGAGAAATACCATGTTCTTGGATTGGAAAAATCAATATCGAGAAATGACTATACTACATAAAGCAATCCCCAGATTCAATGCAATTCCTATCAAATTACCAAGGCATTTTTTTACAGAACTAGGACAAAAAATCTTAAAATTTATATGGAGACACAAAAGACCACGAATAGCCAAAGCAATCTTTAGGGGAAAAAACGGAGCTGGAGGAATCAGGCTCCCTGACTTCAGACTATACTACAAAGCTATGTTAATCAAGACAATATGGTACTGACACAAACACAGAAATATGGATCAATGGAACAAGATAGAAAGCCCAGAGATAAACCCACAAACCTATGGCCCAATAATCTATGACAAAGGTGGCAAGTATATACAATGGAGAAAAGACAGTCTCTTCAATAAATGGTGCTGGGAAAATGGACAGCTACATGGAAAAGAATTAAGTTAGAACACTCCCTAACACCATACACAAAAATAAACTCAAAATGGATTAAAGACCTAAATATAAGACCAGACACTTTAAAACTCATAGAGGAAAACATAGGAAGAACACTCTTGGACATAAATCACAGCAAGATCTTTTTTGACCCACCTCCTGGAGTAATGGAAATAAAAACAAATATAAACAAATGGGACCTAATGAAACTTAAAAGCTTTTGCACAGCAATGGAAACTATAAACAAGGCAAAAAGACAACCTTCAGAGTGGGAGATAATATTTGCAAACAAATCAACAGACAAAGGATTAATCTCCAAAATATATAAACAGCTCATGCAGCTCAATATTAAAGAAACATACAACCCAATCAAAAAATGGATATAAGATCTAAATAGACATTTGTCCAAAGAAAACATACAGATGGCCAAGAGGCACATGAAAAGCTGCTCAACGTCACTAATTATTAGAGAAATGCAAATCAAAAGTACAATGAGGTATCACCTCACACCAGTTAGAATGGGCATCATCAGAAAATCTATAAACAACAAATGCTGGAGAGGGTGTGAAGAAAAGGGAACCCTCTTGCATTGTTGGTGGGAAAGTAAATTGATATAGCCCCTATGGAGAACAGTATGGAGGTTCCTTAAGAAACTAAATATAGAATTACCATATGACCCAGCAATCCCACTACTGGACATATACCCCAAGAAAACCATAATTCAAAAAGACACATGCACCCCAATGTTCATTGCAGCATTATTTACAATAGCCAGGTCATGGAAGCAACCTAAATGCCCATTGACAGATGAATGGATAAAGAAGTTTTGGTAAATACATACAATGGAATATTACTCAGCCACAAATAGGAACGAAATTGGGTCATTTGTAGAGACGTGGATGGAGCTAGAGTCATACAGAGTGAAGTAATTCAGAAGGAGAAAAACAAATATTGTACATTAACTCATATATATGGAATCTAGAGAAATGGTACAGATGAACCACATTGCAAGGCAGAAATAGAGACACAGATTTAGAGAACAAATGTATGGAAACCAAGCGGGTAATGTGGCTGGATGAATTGGGAGATTGGGAATGACATACATATTCTAACATGTATGAAATAGCTAATAAGAACCTGCTGTATATAAAAAAATTTTTAAACGGTGCATTTTGAAAAAAAAAAAGAAACATGCATGTGATCCATCAATATCACTTCAGGAATGTATCTTAAGGAGATGATTAGACAAGTTTCGAAATCTGTATGTAAAAGGATGTTCATTACAATGTTTTTTTATGATAGTAAAAAAAAAAACAGAAAAAACCTAAATGACCAACAATTGAAAAATGCATAAATGGGTTATAGCACAGCTAGTTAATGGAATATTATATTGTATGTAGCTACTTTAAAAAAAAAGACTAATAGGAATTTCACCTTTCTGAGGCCCAGTTTCTTCATTGGGATAGTGAATAATGTACATCCTACCTCACAGGTTTACTGTAAGAATTAAGGAAGACTGAATATGTAAAATCCCCAGCCCAGGCATGGGACATAGGAATTACATAACAGGAAATTTTTTCCTTTCCCTTAGATGGCATGAAGTCAACCACTGCAGCATATTCTTACTTTCATTTTTCCTATTCTCACTGGGAATGAAAGAAAACCAGATGTAAGGGTTTTCCCATCATCTGTCCTTCTTCATCCACTTAATCAGTGTTATGTTAACAACTGTCATGTCACTTAACAAGTAGCTAATTATTTTCATACCACACTTGTGATTTTAAAGGCTCTTTTTTCCTTCAATTATACATTTTCCCAATTAAGTATTCAATGATGAACTGAGTGGAATCCAGAATTGCTGGCCTATCCAGAGAACTCACTTTTCTTGAATGCCAGTTACTCACCTAATGCCATGTCAACCTGACTGATGATACCAGGCAATGGAAAGCACATCCACTAGTCTGCTCTTTCTTCTCATAACTTGTTACTTTCATAGCCTCACCCAAAATGCTTGTCAAAGTACTCCATATGATAACCACTGTGCCGTGTGTTCTTAGTCCTAAAAGGGCCAGATGCTTGGTCAAGAATCTACATTTAGTTCTGGTAGGCTGTCTTGGTCACATGTTACATACATATTGGAGCTTACAAGATAGGCCTACACCTAGTTGTAATGAATAAACTTGACAATTATTCATACCCCTTCATGAGACACTGGGGAATCAGAGAGATCCATGGGAATCTGGCATTATCTGATACAATGCTGCCCTGTCCAATACAGTAGCCACTAGCCACATGTGACTCACTGAGCATTTGAAATGCGACTAGCATGACTGAGAAACTGAGTTGTTAACTTTATTTTCTTTATATAGCTTGTGGCTACCATATTGGACAGCATAGATCTAGACAGTATAGTTTAATGGAAGAATGTGGGATTTGAAGCTAAATAGATCCTCAGGTTTAAGTCTTGTCAACTGTTAATTACTAACTATATAGCTATAACTTTGATCATGTTCTTCATCTTGTTCAAACCTCAGTTGCATGATCTGTAAAATGCGGATAATACCAGAACCTCACAGGGTTGTTGTGATTAGAGAATGAATGTAAAACACCTAGCCTGGGGCTCATCACATGGTAAGTCACCTTTAAATAATATCTATTTATCAAGCTCCCCATTTTCCATACGGAGAAACTGAAGCTCCAAAAGAAGTGTCTTGTCCACAGTTACAGAGCTAGTTGGAAGCACAGTCAGGAGCCAAATCCAGATTGTCTCACATTTTTTGATAATGAGTTTTCCTATAAAGACGAATCCTCCTCACCCCTGAAGAGTGAAGGGTGGTAGCCCAAACAACTACTCAACTGCTATAAAAAATATCTTATACATGTAGAGAAAATGTACCTTTGTGAAGCCTATTTGTTCCTTCCGGAAATTTTCCAGGGGTTTGATCAGCAAATCACTAGCATTGTGTACCTAGAGAAAAAGAAAGAACACGCAAAATAACTTGTAGATTAGCAAGGTTCAGATTCAACATTCATTGTTACTAGGGTATTTCCTTATAATACACCATCCTGCAAAACGTTAACTAGTTTGCTGGCTTGTTGAGTTTTGTTACTGTTTTTCCCATATTGGTCTTTTAAAATCAAATGGTTTGACGATTACCTTAAGTGAATACCATGGGAGACAGCACAGGGGGAGGATTTTTCTCAAGGACAAGAGCCCTTCCTGTGGGGGAGAAGATGAGAGTGTGGGTTCTCCAGTCATAGAGACCAGGGTTCAAATTCCAGCTGTGCCACTTAAGGTAATTTGCCACTCCAAACCTTTGTCAAATAGGATCATCACAGCACCTATCTTGTAGACAAAGTACCTAGCACAGAGTAAACACTCATTGTGGAAACTGGTAAAGAGCCAGAGAAACCACCCGATTTCTTGAATTCTAAGATTCATATTTTAACATTTCTGAAATCACCATGCATCATAGTTTGTCAGTGTTTTCCCTTCTTAGCAGCACATAAAATAATGACTCATCTAACAATCAATGACATCTTGGATTTAATGAGGGAATTACTCCCTAACCCTGGAGCAGTTGAGTAACTGACCTAGCTTTATGCAAACTGGTTTATGAAGAAATGTTAAAGTGAACATTTTGCTTAAATTAACAAAGGTTTCAAAAAATCTTCTGGGTCCTTGCTACTCAAAATATGGCCCACTAACCAGCAGCAGCAGCATCACCTGGGATCTTGTTAGAAATGCAGAATCTCAGCCTCCACCCCAGACCTATCAAATAAGAATCCTTATTTTAACAAGGGCCCTAGGTAATTTGTGTGTACCCTCAAGTTTTAAAAGCACTGTTCTAGCTTTTTAATTTGTTTTAAGTTGGAGCAATTGGTATAATTAGACACTTGGATTCATTTCCTTAACTACTCACCAAAACTTTATTCTTTCATTAAAAATATAATGGCAAATTGGGATTAAGTTGATGCTTTCAAATCTTTCAATATTTATGATGTATATGGGAATTAATATAACTGTACATGGAAATCAAAATCTGTGAAAATCAGAGATAACATTAATACCAAAGTTGGAGAGGTGTGGAATCAAGTTTTAATTTGAAAAATTAAACTTTTCCTCCTTAAAAAAAGTAAAATGCTGTGAGAGGAAATGAAAGAAGGAACATTAGGGGCATTTCTCTGTAACTTTACTGGTAGTCTGATCTGAGATGTTAATCGATAAATATCCAGGGTCATGCCCAGAAACAGACACAGGAAGCCTGAAGTATATGTGGAAAAGAGAAGAGAAAGGGAAGGGAAAATACATGAAAAGGCCAATTGCACCAAGTGCAAATCATTTCATGGGAGGCAAATGAGTTAGTAGGAATAGCATCAGGAAAAATCCCAGTATAAATTGTTTCCAGCCCCGCCCTGGTGTGTCATAAAACCAGAACATTTCCCTCAGAACTAAGAGTGTATTACAGCATCACAGAGAATACTGGACCAGGCCTTCTAACAACCTAACTGTAAGTTCAGAACCTGACAGAAACAGCCTGTCCAGGTACTAAAAATATTGGCATTAATATGGTGTTGGAAATATAAAAACATCATATCCAAATTGAATCCCTTGCACAGTGGGCAGGTAGAGACATAAAAAGCTTTGTCTTCATGTAAACCTCTTGGGAGATTTCATCTATCCAACGCAACAAGTGGGGTTTGTTTCTTCAGAGGTGCGAATTAGCTGCAATTTAATTTTGATCCATTACAAGACAAGAAAATGAGGGACTGGCTTCGTTATCAGATGAGACAAAGTGTCGGTAAGGCAAGATATGTCTTTAAAACAAAAATAGAATAGAGAGTAGAAAGCCAGTTTTTACCAGTTCTGTATTCTCCAGAGTAAGAAACAATTTTTAAACTACCAACAAAAAGCAACACGAATTGAGGCATTAATACATATTGTATCCAAGTCCTACAGGCACTTTGGACCTCTTATTTTCTATCCAGGCATGATTCAACGTTCAACTAAATGGGCAAACTCTCATCCAATCAAAGCACCATGATATCAAAAATAGACACCAGTGACTATCCTTGCTTGAAAACAATAATTCTCTTACTAAAAGTACCAGCCTGTCTCCTTTGCCCAATACACTCTACATTTCCATGGATTGTGAATTATGTGCTATCAACTTTGTATACCCACCTGGAAATAAACTAAGTTATTGGTGTCATAGATTACATGCAGGGAATAATTTTTCTTCTTTACTATTGTGGAAGTTTTAAAACATGGACACAAATTCTATGATACTCCTCACATTGAGAAGGAAGGTCTCCATCCCCTCCTCTACCTTGAATATGAGTGGGTTTGTTACTGCTTTGAACAAACACAGTACAGCAGAAGGGATACTACATGACATCCCAGGCTAGGTCATAAAAGGCCAGTAACTTCCACCTGGTTCCCTTGGAACACTCCTCATGAGCCCTGAGCCACAATATAAAGAGTTGGACTACCCTGGGACTACCAAGCTAGAGAGACCAAATGTAGACATTCTTGTCAAAAGACCCGCTGAGCCCAGCCTTGCAGTCATCTCACTAAGGTGCCAGATATGTGAGTGAAGCTATTTTGGACCCTCCATATCACCGCACCTCCAAGGTGAATACCACTACATAGAGCAGAAGAATCTCTGAGCTGACCCCTGCATGAATTCCTGACCCACAAAATCATGTGATAAAATTAAATAGTTTAAGTCACCACGTTTTGGAATAGGGTGTTATGTAGCAATAGATAATTAGAAAAACAATTTCCAGTTTCACGAAGATAACACAAAAGTAGCCAATTGGGAAACATTGAGGAAGTTTGTCTTTGAATAAGAAGTGAACATGCCACTTCTAAAGAGAGTAATATGTGTCAAGCCTCTGTATGGATATTCAGCTGAGCCCTTGCATATGCAGGCACCCCAAGGATGGTACAGGTGCCAGTTTTTCATGTTCCACGGGGGATTTTCTTGCATAAGTAAGTGTGCCAGTAACTTCTCACAGAGTTCATAAGGCTACTATTTTTACGTTTGGCCCTGTTCCAGTCTGGAAAAGTAGCACATGGTTCACTTAAATTGGAGTCGAGAGTTTTCCTTAATCGCATTGGAAATACTGTTCCCTGTCTCCTACAACACAAATAGATTCTCTGAACCTTTTCCTCTCTTTAACAGTCATTGGTTATTATACTGATTTCTGCCAGAACATTGAGCTAGAAATGTAGGAGAATGTCGCACTGAGGATTGGCTCTTTTTTCTTTCCCATTCAGCTTTACCTTTAAACTCCTTAGAAATCTAACAATTACTCAGAAAAGCCCTTTTAAGTAAACTTGACCTTTATTCCCTTTCTGACCACTGCATTCATTTTGTGAGCTCTCTAGGACAAAAGCTCCCACCTACTATATCACAGTAGAAGCCCCAGCGTAAGTGACATTCTAAACACATTAGTGAGTTTATCTAAAATCTGGCTCTGATTGAATAAAACCAAACTAGATAGGCCACTTACTAAAATAGAGATGGCATTCAATCTAGTAGTGAAGAATTGCTCAGGAATCTTTGATGGTTAACCAATTACCAAAAGAAGGCATTGAGGGTACACCGTTTTAGGTCATTCTTGGCAGTCCTCAAAGAAAGACCTTACCATTGCCAACAGAGTCCCCTTCAGAGTTAGAAAGGCATCTAGGCAAGCCTCTTATCGTTAATCATAGAGAAAGTCTGTTATCCAGACTTTTAAAGGCCACTTTCAGAGGTACTACAACCTTCCCCACTGTACTTTTTTAAGAAATAAAAGCGGGGATGCTCCACTTCATTTATTCCCTCCATAGTTTCTTTAACAATGTAAAATTCATTATGAGAATGACTAGACATCTGCAGTTGTCACATGCTAGGGCTATGAACTTCCTTCGTGTTCTACTAAAGTTTCTTTGGGCCTCTTTTTATAGAAATTATAGAAAGCTGTTTAACATCTACCATATTGAGGTACAGGAGTCCTTCTACCACAGTTCCAGGAAATGAGAGAGGTGCAGTCAAGAACGATCCCTGGCAGGTTGTAAAAGGCCTTCATTGAGCCTAACCTACACAGCATTCCTGTAATTAAATAGGAAATAGGGAGCCAATACTCAAGACATGACTGAAGAATTGAGGGAACAAAAGGGCAGAGCATAATTAAAGACAGAAGAAAATAAGTTAGTCCTGTGGAAAACAGCCAGCAGTTATGGTGAGAAAAATATCTCAAAAGGTGAATCCTTCTTCAATATTTTAGAGCTCTGTAATCGGGTAAATAAAAGAGATCAAGAAACAACTAGGGCTGAAGAGTTGTACAGCTGACATTTCTAGTGGTATATGAATGAAATAGGGGTGAATGTCTTTGAGATCAACATTGGTAGCAGTCCACAAACTCTTATAACAGAAGAAAATATTTAGTAGAGTGTGGATTAGCTAGTGGGGTATCTAAGAGGCTCTGGGAAAACTACCCATATTGGCCTCTCTTAACTATCATTATAAGCAAATTTCTTAAATGAAGAAAATTCCCAAGTCAAATTTCCACAAGCCAAATCTTGGGGGCAACAAAAAATAACTAGAAACATTTATATAATCAGTGATTTTTGCTATTATAAAACACTACCATATTCATTTTATCATTTGGAGTACTTACAACAAACTTAGAAGATGGGAATTTTTTCTCATTCTACATATAAAGAAAGAGAGAGTAGAAGAAATAAAGTGATTAGTGTGAAGTCACAAATAAGTTAGTGGCACAGCCACTATTAGCACCTAAAGATCTAATTTCCCAGATTTACGGGCCCTGCCTTCAATCCTAACTCTCTAGGAGCTGAGATGAAACGGTAGCAGTATTCTGAGAAGCCAGTACCACCCTGTTGAAAAGGAAGAGTGATTACAGATTAAAGAACTCTTGCTATTGAAATAAATGGGTTTAACAAAACTGAGCAGCCAATACAAAGTCATCCAATGAGAGAAAGGAAAGACAGACCACTTTGTTGTCCTTAACATTGTTTCCACTTGACGCACATGCTCCTAATAAAAATAAATATTGACCAACATAGGTACATTTAAGTCTCAGCTAGCTCTGGTGTGTGGCCAAGGACCTTCATTTTTAACAATTTCCCAGGTGACACTGGTGGTACAAGTCTAGGGACCACACAAAAAGATTATTTATTCAACTGTTAAAATAGAGTTCACAAAAAAATATAAATACTTAGGAATAAATCTAACAAAATATGTATAAGATCATTATGAGGAAACTATAAAACTCTGAAGAAAGAAATCAAAGAAAGTCTAAATAAATGGGAGAGATAACCCATGTTCACAAATAGTAAGACAATTTTTTTTTTTTTTTTTTTTTTTTTTTTGCTGTATGCAGGCCTCTCACTGTTGTGGCCTCTCCCGTTGCGGAGCACAGGCTCCGGACGCGCAGGCTCAGCGGCCATGGCTCACAGGCCCAGCTGCTCTGTGGCATGTGGGATCTTCCCGGACTGGGGCACGAACCCGTGTCCCCTGCATCGGCAGGCAGACTCTCAACCACTGCGCCACCCGGGAAGCCCTAAGACAATATTTTTAAGATGTCAGTTTGTCCCATCTATAGATTCAACGCAATTCCAATCAAAATTCCAGCAACTTGTTTTGTGGATATTGATAAACAGGTTCTGAAGTTCATACCCTACTTCAAGACTTACTACAAAGTTACAGTAATCAAGATAGTGTGGTATTGGTCCATAACATTTTTCACAGAACAAGAACAAATAATCCTAAAATTTATATGGACCCACAAAAGACCCAGAATTGCCAAAGCAATCCTGAGGAAAAAGAACAAAGCTGGAGGTATAAACCATCCAGACTTCAGACAACATTACAAACCTACAGTAATCAAAGCAGCATGGTATTGGCACAACAGGAGATATATATATCAATGGAAAAGAACAGAGAGCCCAGAAGTAAATCCACAGACATATGGTCAATTAATCTATGACAAAGTATGCAAGAATATACAATGGAGAAAATACAGTCTCTTCAACAAGTGGTGTTGGGAAAGCTGGACAGCTATGTAAATCAATTAAATTAGAACATTCCCTCACACCATATACAAAAAATAAACACAAAGTGCTTTAAAGACCTAAATATGACATGGCACCACAAAATTTCCAGATGAGAATATAGGCAAAACATTCTCGGACATGAATCATAGTGATATTTTCTTAGATCAATCTCCCAAAGCAAAAGAAATAAAAGCAAAAATAAACAAATGGGATCTAATGAAACTTAAAAGTTTTTGCACAGCAAAGGAAACCATTGGCAAAATGAAAAGAAAACCTACGGAATAGGAGAAAATATTTGCAAACAATGTGACCGACAAGGAGTTAACATCCAAACTATACAAACAGCTCATACAACTTAATACCAAAAAAAATTTAAAAACTGAACAAAAGACCTAAATAGACATTTCTCCAAAGACATACAGATGGCCAACAGTCACAAGAAGAGATGCTCAACATCACAAATTATTAGAGAAATGCAAATCAAAACCACAATGAGGTATCACCTCACACTGGTCAGAATGGCCATCATTAAAAAGTCTACAAATAATAAATGCTAGAGAAGATAAGGAGAAAAGGGAACCCTCACACACTGTTGGTGGGAATGTAAATTGGTGCAGTCGCCATGGAAAACAGTATGAAGGCTCCTTAAAAAACTAAAAATAGAGCTACTATATGATCCAGTAATGACACTCCTGTGCATATATCCAGAAAAAAATTAAAACTTTAAATTGAAAAGATACATGCACCCCACGGTTCACAGCAGCACTATTTACAATAGCCAAGACATGGAAACAATCCAAGTGCCCATCAACAGATGATTGGCTTAAGAAGATGTGATACATACATATATATATATATACACACACACACACATATCAATATACACACACATATATATTTATATATAAACATACACATAATGGAATATTACTCAGCCATAAAAAATAATGGAATATTGCCATTTGCAGCAACAGGGATGGACCTAGAGATTATCATACTAAGTGAAGTAAGTCAGACAGAGAAAGACAAATATCATATGATATCAATTACATGTGGAAGCTAAAAAATAAGACAAATGAATCTATATACAAAACAGAAACAGACTCACAGACATAGAAAATAAACTTACAGTAACCAAAGGGGAATGGGAGGGGAGGAGGGATAAATTAGGAATATAGGATTAACAGATACAAGCTACTACATATATAATAGATAAGCAACAAGGATTTACTGTATAGCACAGGGAGCTATATTCAACTTCTTGTAATACCTGATAATGGAAAATAATTTGAATATATATATATGAATCACTTTACTGTTATACCTGAAACTAACACAATATTTAAATCAACTATACTTCAATAATTTTTTAAATTTTGTAAAAACAAATCCTGTGATATTGCTGAACAAATAGACAAACAGATCAATGGAACAGAATAGAGAGCCCATATACAGATCCATACAAATATAGTCTATTGGTCTTTGCCAAAGAAGCAAAGGTAATTCAATGGAAAAAGGACAGTCTTTTCAGAAATGGTGATAAAACAACCAGACTTCCCCATGGGGAAAAAAAAAAAGAATCTAGAGACAATCCTTACACTTTCTCAAGAATTAGCTCAAAAGGGGTCATAGACCTAAATGTATAACACAGAATTATAAAACTCCTAGAAGATAACATATGAGAAAATCTAAATGACCTTTGGTTTGGCGCTGATTTTTTAGATACAACCCCAAAAGCATGATCTGTGAAAGAACTGATAAGCTGGACTTCATTAAAATTTAAAACTTCTGCTCCACAAAAGACATTGTTAAGAAAATAAAAAGATAAGCCACAGACTGGAAATTTTTTTGCAATACACATTTCTGATAAAGGACTGGCATCCAAAATATACAAAGAAATCTTAAAACTGAGCAATAAGAAAACAAACAAACCAATTTAAACACAGGCAAAAGACCTGAACAGACACCTCACCAAAGATGATCTACAGGTGGCAAATAAGCATATGGAAAGATGTTCCAAATCAAATGTCATCAGGAAAACACAAATTACAACAGCAAAGATATACCATTACATGCACATATTAAAATGGGTAAAATCCAAAACACAGCCAACATCAAATGCTGGTGAGAATGTGGAGCAACAATAACTCTCATTCAAAGCTGGTGAGAATGCAAAATGGTAGTCACTTTGGAAGACAGTTTGGCAGTTTCTTACAAATCTAGACATATCACACAATCTAGCAATTGGATTCCTTGGAAATTAATCAAAAGAGTTGAAAATTTACATCCACACAAAAATCTGCACACAAATGTGTATGGTAGGTTTTCCATAATTGCCAAAACTTGGGAGTAACCAAGATATCCTTCAATGGGTGTAGGGATGAACAAACTGTGGTAAATCCATATGATGGAATATAGGTTATAATATATGCATATATATTATTCAATGACAAAAAGAAATGAGCTTTCAAGCCATGAAAAGACATAGAGGAAATTTAAACGCATATCACTAAGTCAAAGGAGCCAATCTGAAAAGGCTATATACTGTATGACTCCAACTGTATGATATTCGAGAAGAGGAAAAACACAGTAAAAAGATAAGTGTTTGCCAGGGATTTGGATATCAGAGAAGGAAGGGGGAATCACAGGGGATTTTTAGGGCAATGAAAATAATCTTTATGATGAAACTTTGATGGTGAATATATGTCATTAGGCATTTGTCAAAACCCATAAAATATTCAATAAAGAGTGAACTCTTATGTAACTATGAACTTAATAATATTGCATTGATGTTGGTTCATTAACTGAAACAAATGTACCACACATGCAAGATGATAATAGAGGAAACTGTATGGGGAGGAGAGGGGGAAGAAAGGGAGTACAGTTTACCCTTGAACAGTGCAAGGGTCAAGGGAACTGACCCCACACACACAATGTGCAGTCAAAAGTCTGCATATAACTTTACAGTCTTCCAGTATCTGAGGTTCTACAACAATAGATTCAACTGAACTCAGATCATGTAGCACTGTAGTATTCATTGAAAAGCACCCACATATAAGTGGACACACACAGATCAAACCTGTGACGTTCAAAGGGCAACTGTACATGAAATCTCTCTGCACTTTCCACTCAACTTTTCTGTAAAACGAAAACTGCTCTAAATATTAAAGTCTATTAATATTAATAAATTAGACTTTAAATGTAAGGAAAAAAAAGTTTTCACATAGATTTAAATAAAACAATCATATGTCATAAATAAAGCCCACATCATTACTTCTAAAAGCACATAAGCACATAAATAGATAATTTGTTTAAGAACACTAAAGACCATGATTTTTGTCAACATGTTCAACAGTCGAATTTAATGTCATCTGAAATCTTATCTCACTGAAATGAATAGACTAATTTCCCTCTACCTAATGCTAAACTCTCAGGATGGGAACTTGAGATAGAATAACCAGATCGATTCCCTGTCTTTACAGTACCCAGGTAATGATGAGACAGAAACTGAAACAACATAGTATCACTCCAACCAATGAGGAGAAGAAAACTTCCCAAGATCAGAGATGATCTTGGTTCTAGGCCCAATGTTAATGACCTACCATCATCATCCTCTCGTTTTCTACTTCGTTGAGCAATTCGGCAAATTCCTTGAAGGATTCAGCTGAAATGACAGAATAAAAGATAAACCAAATTAATCATGGTACTTGATGGGCAAGTGGGCAGAAATCTATGGGAAAAGAGGTAGAGACCAGTGCCCAAAGACAATCTGACCACTAGAGGAAGGTGTCAAATCTAAGGACAACAGAAGAAGGAGTTCAGTACCTGCTACATAGTTATTTCCTTTTTCTTCTTTTGTTTTTGTTTTTATTTTGCTAATGTTCCTACCCCAATTCTTTTGCTCCAGTTGTACTGAGATATAATCAACCTATAACACTGTATAAGTTTAAGGGGATTATGGCAAACGGTAAAAAAAAATAAATGAGCATAAGATTTAAAAAATGTTAAACATAGAGTTACCACATGATTCAGCAATTCCATGCCTAGGTATATTGCTAAAAGAACTGAAAGCATATCCACACAAACAATTATATACAAATGTTGTTGACTGCATTATTCGTAATAGCCAGTAAACGGAAAGACTGAAAGTGTTCTTCAATTGCTGAATGGTTAAACAGTTCTGATACAGCTATTAAATGGAACAATGTGTGGCAATGAACAGAAACAAAGGATGGATACTCAATACAACATAGAATAACTTCGAAAACATTATGCTCAGTGAAAGAAGCCAGTCACAAAAAGCCACATATTGTATGATTTTCTTTAAATGAAATGTCGAGACTAGGCAAATCCAGAGAGACATGAAGTAAATCAGTGGTTCACTGAATGTACGGGGAAGGTGGGAATAGGGACTGATGCTAATGGTTTGTGGTTTCTTTTGAGGGTGTGAAAATGATCTGGAATTGTATTGCAGCAATGCTTGCACAACTCTGTGAATATACTAAAAGCCACTGAGTTGAGGCCGGAGGGGAAGATGGCAGAAGAGTAAGACGCGGAGATCCCCTTCCTCCCCACAGATACACCAGAAATACATCTACACGTGGAACAACTCCTACAAAGCACCTACTGAACGCTGGCAGAAGACCTCAGACCTCCCGAAAGGCAAGAAAGCCCCCACGTACCTGGCTGGGTAGGGAAAAAGAAAAAAGAATAAACAGAGACAAAAGGATAGGGACGTTACCTGCACCAGCGGGAGAGAGCTGTGAAGGAAGAAAGGTTTCCACACACTAGGAAGCCCCTTCCCAGGCAGAGATTGAGGGTGGTGGAGGGGGAAAGCTTCAGAGCCACGGAGGAGAGCACAGCCACAGGGGTGCGGAAGTCAAAGCGGGGAGATTGCCGCACAGAGGATCGGTGCCGACCAGCGCTCACCAGCCCGAGAGTCTTGTCTGCTCCCCCGCCGGGGCGGGCGGGGCTGGGAGCTGAGACTTGGACTTAGGTCGGAGCGCAGGGAGAGGACTGGGGTTGGAGGCATGAACACAGCCTGCAGGGGGTTAGTGCGCCACATGGCCAGGAGGGAGTTGAGTGAAGAGTCTGGATCTGCCGAAGAGGCAAGAGACTTTTTCTTCCCTCTTTGTTTTCTGGTGCGCAAGGAGAGGGATTAAGAGCGATGCTTAAAGGAGCTCCAGAGACAGCCGTGAGCCACGGCTAAAAGCACGGATCCTAGAGATGGGCAGGAGATGCTAAGCATGCTGCTGCCACCACCAAGAAGCCTGTGTGCAAGCACAGGTCACAATACACACCCCCCTTCATGGGAGCCTGTGTAGCCCACAACTGCCAGGGTCCCGTGATCCAGGGACAACTTCCCCGGCAGAACGCATGGCGCCCCTCAGGATGGTGAAACGTCACGCTAGCCTCTGCCGCTGCAGGCTCGCCCCACACTCCGTACCCCTCCCTGCCCGAGGCCTGACTGAGCCAAAGTCCCCGAAGCAGCTGCTCCTTTAACCCCGTCCTATCTGAGTGAAGAACACACGCCCTCTGACTATCTACATGCAGAGGCGGGGCCAAATCCGAAGCTGAGCCCCAGGAGCTGTAAGAACAAAAAAGAGAAAGGGAAATCTCTCCCAGCAGCCTCAGAAGCAGCGGATTAAAACTCCACTATCAACTTGATGTACCCTGCATCTGTGGAATATATGAATAGAATACGAATCATCCCAAATTGAGGAGGTGGATATTGAGATCAAGATTTATTACTTTTTCCCCTTTTCCTCTTTTTGTGAGTGTGTATGTGTATGCTTCTGTGTGAGATTTTTTCAGTATAGTTTTGCTTCGACCATTTGTCCTAGGGTTCTATCAGTCCGTTTTTTGTTTGTTTGTTTCTTAGTTTCTTGGGTTATTTTGTTTATTTGTTTTTTTCTTTCTTTTTAAAAATTTTTTTTCTTAATAATTATATTTTATTTTAATAACTTTATTTTATTTTATCTTACTTTATCTTCTTTCTTCCTTTCTTTCCTTCCCTCCTTCCTTCCTCCTTCACTCCCTCCCTCCCCCACTCCCTCCCTCCCTCCCTCCTTTCTTTCTTTCTTCTTTCTTTCTTTCTTTCTTTCTTTCTTTCTTCTTTCTTTCTTTCTTTTTCTTTCTTTCTTTCTTTCTTTCTTTCTTTCTTTCGTCTTTTTTTCTTTCTTTCTTTTTCTTTCTTTCTTTCTTTCTTCTTTCTTTCTTTCTTTCTTCTTTCTTTCTTTCTTTCCCTTTCTTTTCTTTCTGTCCTTCCTTCCTTCCTTCCTTCCTTCCTTCCTTCTTTCTTTTCTTTCTTTCTTTCTTTCTTTCTTCTTTCTTTCTTTCTTTCTGCTTTTACTCCCTTTCATTCTGAGCCATATGGATGAAAGGCTCTTGGTGCTGCAACCAGGAGTCAGTGCTGTGCCTCTGAGGTGGGAGAGCCAGCTTCAGGACACTGGTCCACAAGAGACCTCCCAGCTCCACATAATATCAAATGGCAAGAATCTCCCAGAGATCTCCATCTCAACACCAGCACCCAGCTTCACTCAACGACCAACAAGCTAAAGTGCGGGACACCCTATTCCAAACAACTAGCAAGACAAGAACACAAACCCACCCATTAGCAGAGAGGCAGCCTATAAACATAGTAAGTCCACAGACACCCCAAAACACAAAACGTGGACCTGCCCACCAGGCAGACAAGATCCACCCACATCCACCAGAACACAGGCACTACTCCCCTCCACCAAGAAGCCTACACAACCCACTGACCCAACTTTATCCACTGGGGACAGAAACCAAAAACAACGGGAATTATGAACCTGCAGCCTACAAAAAGGAGACCCCAAACACAGCAAGATAAGCAAAAGGAGAAGACAGAAAAACACACAGCAGATGAAGGAGCAAGATAAAAACGCACCAGACCCAACAAATGAAGAGGAAATAAGCAGTCTACCTGAAAAAGAATTCAGAATAATGATAGTAAACATGACCCAAAATCTTGGAAATATAATAGACAAAATGCACGAAACAATTAAAAAGGACCTAGAAAACTACAGATGAAACAAGCAATGATAAACAACCTAATAAATGAAATGAAAAATACTCTAGATGGTATCAATAGCAGAATAACTGAGGCAGAAGAATGGATAAGTGACCTGGAAGATAAAATATTAGAAATAAATACTGCAGAGCAGAATAAAGAAAATAGAATGAAAAGAACTGAGGACAGTCTCAGAGACTTCTGGGACAACATTAAATGCACCAACATTCAAATCACAGGGGTTCCAGAAGAAGGAGAGAAAAAGAAAGTGATTGAGAAAATATTTGAGAGATTATAGTTGAAAACTTCCCTAATATAAGAAAGTAAATAATCAAGTCAAAGAAGCACAGAGAGTCCCATAAATGATAAATCATAGGAGAAATATGCCAAGACACATACTAATGAAACTGTCAAAACTTAAATACAAAGAAAACATATTAAAAGCAACAAGGGAACAACAACAAATAACAAAAGGGAATCCCCATAAGGGTAACAACTGATCTTTCAGCAGATACTTTGCAAGCCAGAAGGGACTAGCAGGAAATATTTAAAGTGATGAAGGAGAAAAACCTGCAACCAAGAGTACTCTACCCAACAAGGATCTCATCCAGATTTGATAGAGAAATTAAAATCTTCACAGACAAGCAAAACCTGAGAGAGTTCAGCACCACCAAACCAGCTTTATAACAAACGCTAAAGGAACTTTTTTAGGCAAGAAACACAAGAGAAGGAAAAGATCAAAAATAACGAACCCAAAACAATTAAGAAAATGGGAATACGAACATACATATCAATAATTACCTTAAATGTAAACGAACTAAATGCTCCCACCAAAAGACACAGAATGGCTGAATGGATACAAAAACAAGTCCATGTATATGCTGTCTACAAGAGACCCACTTCAGACCTAGAGACACACACAGACTGAAAGTAAGGGGATGGAAAAAGATATTCCATGCAAATGGAAACCAAAAGAAAGCTGGAGTAGCAATTCTCATATCAGACAAAATAGACTTTAAAATAAAGACTATTAGAAGAGACAAAGAAGGACACTACAGAAGGATCAAGGGATCGATCCAAAAAGAAGATATAAAAATTGTAAATATTTATGCACCCAACATAGGAGAACCTCAATACATAAGGCAAATACTATAAGCCATAAAGGGGAAATGGACAGTAACACACTCATAGTAGGGGACTTTTACACCCCACTTTCACCAATTGAGAGATCATCTGAAATGCAAATAAATAAGAAAACACAAGCTTTAAATGATACATTAAACAAGATGGATTTAATTGATATTTATAGGACATTCCATCCAAAAACAACAGAATACACATTTTTCTCAAGTGCTCATGGAACATTCTCCAGGATAGATCATATCTTGGGTCACAAATCAAGCCTTGGCATATTTAAGAAAACTGAAATTTTATCAAGTAACTTTTCTGACCACAATCCTACGAGACTAGGTATCAATTACAGGAAAAGATCTGTAAAAAATACAAACACATGGAGGCTAAACAATACACTACTTAATAACGAAGTTATCATTGAAGAACTCAAAGAGGAAATCACAAAATACCTAGAAACAAATGACAATGGAGACATGACGATCCAAAACCTATGG